TCCATCAATACTTTCTTGAGAATATACCCAAAAGATGCCCAATCATATTACAAAAGCATTTGTTTAACTATGTCCATAGTAGCATTATTTGTAATAACCAGAACCTGGAAACAACCTAGATGCCCCTCAACTGAAGGATGGATAAAGAGTGGCACATTTACACATCAGAGTACTACTCAACAGTAAAAAAACCAATGACATCTTGAATTTTGCATGCAAATGGATGGAATTAGAAAACACTATCCTGAGTGAGGTATCCCAAACACAAAAAGATGAATATGGTATGTACTAACTTATAAGTGGATACTAGCTATAAACAAAGACATTGAGCCTATGCAGTTCATGATCCTAGAGAAGCTAAGTAATAAGGTGAACACAAAGAAAAACATATATGGACGACCTGGGGATTGGAGATAGACAGGGTCACCTGACAGGATTGGGAGCATGGGAGCAGGGGAATGGGTAGGGATAGGGGACAAGAGGAGGGGAGAGGGGAGAGTTAAGGAGAACTTTAGGGAATGGGATGGTCGAGAAGGAGGGGGAACAGATATGAGAGCAAGAAGAGAGATATCTTGATTGGGGGAGCCATTATGGGGTTGGCAAGAAAGCTAGCTCTAGAAAAATTCCCAGGAATTCACAAGGATGGCCCCTGCTAAGACCCTAGACAATAGTGGAGAGGGTGCCTGAACTGGCATTGCCCTGTATTCAGATTGATGATTACCTTATATATCACCATAGAACCTTCGTCTAGCACAGATGGAAACAGAGGCAGAGTCTCACATTGGAACACTGGACTGAGCTCCCAAGGTCCAGTTGAAGAGTAGAAGGAATAAGAATATGAGTAAAGAGGTCAAGACCATGGGGGAGGGGTTACCCACTGATGCAGTTTACTTGAGTTAATGGGAGCTCACCAACTCTAGAGGGACTGGGAAGGAACAAGCATAGGACCAAGCTAGTCTCTCTGAATGTGGTTGACAGTTGTATGGTTAGGGCAGACTGAGGGGCCACTGGCAGTGGCACTGGGATTTGTCTTTGCTGCATGTACTGGCTTTTGGGGATCCTATTCTGTTTGAATGTATACCTTGCTCAGCCTAGATGTAGTGGGGAGGGCCTTGGACTTTCCACAAAGCAAGGTGCCTTGCCCTCTCTTAGGATTAGAGGGGGTGGGGTAGGAGGAGTGTGGAAAGAATGAGAGGAGGGGAAGGAGTGGGAATTTGGATTGGTACTTTTTTTTAAAAAAAAAATGTAACAAACAATAAATTAAAAAAGAAACAGAAAGTTAACACAATCAATCTATAATAAAGTTGGTTTACAATCATTCATGTGTTTCCATTTTTGTTTCTTTTGTTTTCTTTTTTCCTTTTGGAGATTTATACAAGCATGCCATACTTTTAGACATTTTCACCCCATCTTTCTTTTCATCCCTCTTCCCACAAACCCCCTCCTACTTTCATATCTTTTTATTATTATTTTGTTGTTGTTGTTTGGTAGCATTGTAAGTTTTCTTTTACCTCTCAGGGTAATATAACACACAATTGAAGTCATGTGTCACACTGAGTTTATTTAGAGTTGCTCACACAGTGTGGATAGAAGGATATTTACTGGAGCATGGGTAACTTATTAGTGCTGTACCACTAAAGCACACACACACACACACACACACACACACACACACACACACACACACACACACCAGGGTGGGAATAGAGAGGGGAGAGATACTTTTTGAAAGTTAAGACAGAATGCTGATAAGTCCTGACCCATCACAAAAGGTGGTCACTTCCCTTTAAAGAGACAGCAGGTCTCTTTAAAGTTGGTAAAGAAGCTGGGTAAAGAAGTTGGGTAAAGAAGCTTTGAAAGTCTTTGGAGGAAGAGCTTCCCATGATAATGTTGCTGTAGTCACAAGGGAAAAGGTACTTCTTCTGGGTTTGTTGTATTTATTTTTACTTTGTGAGGTACTATTAATAAAAACTCAGAGAGAGAAATTAAGCTTCAACCTGAAGGTCAGAAAAGCAAAACAGCCAGCCACTGGCTCTTACCTCTACCTCAGTTCAAAAATGGCGATCCTGCCTCCAGAAATCTCAGAATAAGACTGAGCCTGAGAGCTGTCTCCTCCAGTTTAATAATCCTCTATAGGTCTGGGATTAAAGGTGTGCACCACTGGGATTAAAGGCATGCACCCTCAGTTTCTATGCAACTAGTGTGGCTTCTGGGATTAAAGGTGTGTGTTACCACTGTCTAGTCTGTAAGGCTGACCAGTGGGGCTGTTTTACTCTCTAATCTTCAGATAAGTTTTATTTATTAAAATACAAATGAAATACCACTATTCCTTTGTTAGAAAGTAACACTAATATAAAGATTCCTCTGTCCGTAGTAGAATATCAGTACCTCACACCTATATGCGTTAAGGTACATGAAGTATTTGGTGAAATGTGACTGCAGAATGAACACAAACCATGACAGTGAAAGACAGGGAGGGGGAAGGGAGCAAGTGCATAGAGAACATCTTTTCAAATGAGAAAAGTACTATTTGTGGAACAAACCCAGTTTGTGAAATGTGAAATGTTGCAATCAGTGCTTAACATGAGATTCCTGATAAGCTGCAGGGAGGTAGCAAGTTCAGCAGAGTCAGTTCAGGCAGCAGAGAACAATTAGCCTTTGGTAGTACAGAGTACACACAAGCAATGCTTGTCTTCAAGCTGCCTTCCCTTGGTATGAAGCAGTTTCAGGACAATGGAGAGCATGGAGTCGACCACGAGCCAGAGCTCATGGCTTATTCGGCGTTCTGTTGGAATCTAATGCTTTGAAGCTGTAATGCTTAAAGACTGAGATCAGATTGTACCTGAAGCTATAGCAATTTACCAGGCCCTGAGACTCAGCAAGGAAGTCCAGACCAAAGCTTGATATCTCAGCATGCTGGTGAGAGAGATCAAGAAGATTATTTTTAAGTTTAATTATTTGTCTAGTTATGCAACAAAATATGTTTAGCAGAAAACTAAAATGTGGAAACTGTATCTTATTTTTTTCCTCATATAAATTGAATTACCAAGTATTAATTCACACACAGTGGCTTATAAATGTTCAATATAAGAAATCAATGAGTATGAAATAATCAGAGAAATTGCTTTAGCAGGACTAGGAGACTCTAAGAACCATAGGGTTTAATTATTAGGATGTGTGAAGATGTGGTGGGATATGAATGGGTAGTATATTCATCTATTGCTGATAGATGGCTATGTTTCATCCACTGTGTTCTGGAAGCTTTGGGAGGATTGTAATTATGCCTATCATACTAAACATATAGCCTGTGCTCAGGTTCATAAACAGAGTTGTACTCAAACTCAAGGGCCTAGTGTGTCTATAGCTATAAATAGTTTTATTTACTCCATAAGAGCAAGTTCCAGTGTATGACTAAATAGAAAAATTGAAGATTTCATAGTTTAAAAGCAATACAGGTTTGTAATCTTACGGTTCTAGATATTAGGAATAAAAAAAAATCTGACCTGGCCAAAATTAAAGCATAGGTGAGATTGTATCCTTCCTAACAGATCTAAGAAACAACTTGTGTCCAGGGTTTTGTTTTTTTTTAGTGTCTGGAGGCAGCCTGGACTTCTCAGGCTATGGTTTCTTCCTCCAGGACCCACTCCACTGCAGCCTCTGCTTCCATCGCTGCCCCTCCTCAATCTTGTCAGACCCCACCGCTCATCTGCATAAATGGGGTACTGGGTCTCATTCTAGAAAAGGACTCTGCCAGTGAGCTGCATCCACAGTTCTTTTAAAACTTTACACTTTGAGACACTGTGTAGACCAGATTAACCTTGAACTCCTGATCCCTCTGCTTCAACCTTCTGGGTGCTTGTTTGAGAAGCAGGTGCCACCACTTGAGGATCTTCTCTTTTAAAGACGTGATTGTCCTGGGCCCACCTGTCTATTTCACTTTCCTCTCCTTTGATGGTTATTTAATCATATCTACATAGTCTTATGGCATGATAAATGACATGTGCATAGGTGCTGGGTACTACACAGACTCTTTGGAGAAGTTGCTTAATCCTAGCCCTGAATCATCAGCCCTAATGCCCAAGACGATGCTAAGAATGACTAAACAACAGGCCTCCTTCTTTACACTGGCTGCTTTTGTTGTTATTCTGTTTCTGATGTGTAAAGCAATCCTAGAAAGAATCAACAGAGAAGAGAGTGTGGTGTCCTAAAACATACACCTACTCCAGCCTCCGGCTCCTAACCGCAGCAAATTCAAATTGCCCTGTGAGTTGGAGTTCGAAAGGAAGCAGGAAAGAGGCCCAGTGAGTGGGAAACTGAAATGCATTGAGGCTTTAGGAAACAGTGTAGACGGATGTGAAGAGAGTTGCCACCGGAAGGAATTAGATAACTTCAGCAAACGCACTTAATTTCACTTCTTCTTTTAATGTCTGTTTCATTTACTTTCATCATCATTTTCAAATGCAAGTTATTATTTTGGTCCTGTGAATGGAGAAATCATCTACGTGCCTTCCACTGTGGTGGGAAGTGGTGACATTTCTCCATGACTTCAAAGTCACAATTTACTTTCCAGTAAGGGGAAAAAAAATCTCAACAAGGTTAAAAAAGGAACAGTCAAGAAACAGCAGAGCAAGAATTCAAACACAGGTCCCTAAGAGACTAAGGCACTTTTTACTCAATATCACATACCTTTTTTTGGCTTCGGATACTTTTGTAAAATATGTCTCAACCTTTTACTCATCTTCTATTAAAGATTAATATTTATCAAAATCAAAAGAGTTCGTAAACTTGCAAATAAAAAAAATCTACTTTTTGACAAAGCCCCTACAACTCTGAAGACTACTGACTTGTCTCTCAGACTTTGTTATAGGATTCTTGGCCCATCTTACACTGATGTACATGGATAATCATTTTAAGAACTAATTGTAAAATATTCGGAAATTTTCTGAGCCAGCTATTAAACCTGATATTATATAAACTTAAATAAATATTTTAAAACTTACCACTTCCCTGGACTGGAGAGATGGTTCCTCAGGTAAGAGCAGCTGCTGCTTTTGCAGAAGTCAAATCTAATAAGAGAGCAGCAGTTGGTCACCCCCATAACCATAGCACCTCCATTGCACAAATGGCAAATCTTTCTTGCAAGGCTGGTCTTATAGACAGACCCTAGGATTCAGAGCTGGGACACACCACTGATACCTTTTCTCCCCAAAAAGCCTGCACTGAACCTCCTGGCCTGTGGAATATATCTGTCAGATAGGGGAGGTTTTTCTGCAGTTCTGACTTGTTCACATCTCACAGGATTTTTCATCTGCACAACCTTTTTTTTTTTTTTTTTTTTTTTTTTGCCCTAAGACTTTGAGCATCTCTAAAGAGGTATCGTGCTTCATTCTTCTCTTTGATGTCAGAGTCTGGTAAAAAGTTGAGTTCTTTAGTATTAACTCAGTACAATGACTTCGAAAAGGTATACCTACCTACGTTTACTGAGCTTTTATTATATGATGGGATAGTAGAAAGGACTTCACTTGCTTGTTTAATCCTTATAAGAACCTGTAAACAAAGCATTTTTTCCCTCCATTTTGTAGTCGAGGGAACTGAAGATTTGAGGCTATGAGTAGTCTCTTACATATTTAGTCATCAGCGAAGCCAGTACTCTTGCATCATAACCTGAGCCCGGAGGACAGCACTGATATGTCCACTGTAACTCTCGTGTGTGCTATCCCTTTCTCGACAGTCTTTCTTTAAGCTGACTCACCACTTTACACTTTACATTCACTTTCGCACATTTAGCCTCATTCAGGAAATAAGAGGTTTAACAACCTGCCCATCATATATCCACATATGTGTACTGAAATGTGTGTGCAAATACAGGATTAAACCATTTCACCTTTCTTGGCACATAGAAACACTGCCCTATCCTATACTTTGCACAATGGCATCTGCGCAAACATCTATTAGAATGCCTTGTGCCACGGAAGACAGCTTGGTCTCCATTCTGTGGACTCCTGGTCTTGGACTAATGAGTTAGTTGGCTGACACGTGTCCTAAACAGCAGCAGCTCTGGTTTGCCAGCAAGATAATGATTTGAGGTTATGCAGTCAAACCGCTTTCTCTTCTAGGCGAATAGGAATCCATAAATCATAGTTTTATACCCGAGACACGATAGAAAGATATGCTCTTTCGTTTTGTGTTGGTTGTTGGTTGCACTTTAGTTCCTGCTATTTATAAAGCAGAATTGAGCCTTGCCTGGAACTCATCATCAAATATTGCCACGTAGACTCTTCGTCTCAAAGCAATAGCCAAAGCACAAGTTTTCAAAGACTAAACTAGTGTCTATTGCAAATACTCTCTGCAGAATTAAAATAAACTCTGAGAAATAAAAGTTCTTTGATAAATGGTTCAGATCTTCTCTAGGGAAGTTTTTATTCTCATTTCACCTGTCACAGTTAATCCAGTCAACTTTGATTCCACAGACACGTGATGAGGGTTTGATTAAAGTCTCCTTTCAAAACAAAGGGTGCAGTCCGGAATAGGATGTCTTTTTAAAGGAGAGGAGGTGCTTAGTCACGTACCCCATTCTTCTCTTTGAAGAAGTCATTCTCCTTGCCAGGAAACACATTTCTAGTTTGTTCAAATTATTTAAGATTAAAAGATTAGACCATACCTTGGAATTCAAATGTGGTTTGGATGAAGAAAATGCTGAGGTTGAAAAATCTCACCAAACATAGATGCTACTAGAAAACTATGGCAACTATGGATCATCTTCAGCCCTCAAACATGTGTGTTCAGTTCCGAATCCCTACCCTCTAAACACTGAGATGGCTTACAGAAGCTCCAAGGCATCTGATCTCATAATCCCATCTCTCCAGAACACCAGGAACAGGGCTCTAGTTAGGCAGTTACCATATCATATTGCCTTCCTTTTATTCGCTATTGTTCTTTTGCTGAACAACTTAGCAATAAGAATAATGTCCTATTTGCCTTTGTAAGCCGAATCCTACAACAGTGGCTGGCACCTAGTCAATGTTCCATGAAACCATTACTGCCTGGATGTACAAAAATAAACTGGTTTTCAGTGTCCTGTTGCCAGCCTGAGACTGTGCTGTTAATTCAATGTCCTTTCTAACACTGTGAAACCCAAGAGAAAGAAACCATAAAAGTGATCTTATGTAATGAAACAAACAAGCAGAAAAACAAACAAACAAAAACCGTGAAACACAGAGAGGTTGTGTTTAACTGGTCACAAAGGTGGCATAAGAAAAAATTGGGAGTAAGCTTCCAGACTGGATTTAAGGTTGAACTGTAATGACAACACTACACTAAATAGATACAAGAAGTTTTACTTTTGGAAAATTAATTTTTAATGGTGATAATTATCTGTCAAGAACATGTCAGCTTTTGGGGGTGGGTTGGTCTCTTGTTGCCACTTCCTGACCTGATCCCAAACCGCCCTTGCATCCTACCATAGTCCAGCCACAAACAGGGTCTGGATTCACCACAGATGTTGGAACGGAACATAATTCAATAAAATCATGCCTCTGGCTAAAGTTAAGTAATACCATGACAAGCTTGTGGTTTTGTGCAAAACAGAACACTCACTAATGACATCTTAGCAACCAGACTAGAAAAAAAAAACTAGCAATGAATTTCCTAACTCCCCTACTTTCTCCTCCTAGACTCAACTTTCTGATCATGTGCCTGCTTATTTCAACAAACACTTAATAGGGGATTTACATTTCTAGCCCTGTAGTGGAGTATATACATGAAAAACCCCCCTCTGTAAAATATCAGGGATGACAGGAAAGAAAAGAAACAAATACCCTTTAAACGACACAGCCAAGCTTAAAATAAATAGGGCAAATGGTGCAGAAGAGCTAGACACCTACATGCCAATCAGAAACCTAAACACATTATACCCTCTCCAAGAATTCACCTAAAGTGGACCAATGACTTACATATAAAGTGTAATGCGATAAAATCCTTGAGAGATGACAAAAGAGAGAACCTGTGTGGCCTGGGGTAGTAACAGCATTTAAGAAACAAGACCAGAGATGCGATTAATGAAAGGAATATCCAATAAACTGGAACAGTGGTTCTCGACCTTCTATCTGCTGCCACCTTTAATACGGTTCCTCATGTTGTGATAATGCCCTAACCATAAAATTATTTCATTGCTACTTCATAATATCAATTTTACTACTTTTGTGAATTGTAATGTAAATATCTAATATGCAGGATGTCTGACACATGACCCCCTCAAGGGGGTCGCGACCCACGGGTCGAGAACTGCTGAGCTAGAGTTTTTTAACTAGGAACCACTTTGCAAAGGACTCCAAAGGGGCTGTGAAGACCAAGCACAGACTAGGAAAAATATTATAAAAAGCATGTCTAGTTGAGAACTGGGCCTTTTATTTTAAACATACAAAGATCCTTGGAACTTAACAAGAAGGAAACAACGAACTCTAAAAATCAGGAGAAATTTGAGTCAGTGCCCATCCAGGAAGGCAGGCAGATTGAAAGCACGTGAGAAGATGCTCTGTATCACACCTCAATAGCCAATGCGGACCCCACTGAGCACTGACCGAGACCTCATGCTCACTGATTAGAATGGCTGAAATTATAAACCCTAGTAGGCAGAAACTAGGAGAAAGCAAGACTGCATGCTTCCTTTGCAAAGTCTGACTATTTTTCACGTAACTAAATGTACTCTTAACCTAGGATAGAGAAAACTTGTTCCCTGGTATTTGTTTACTCATATGTGCTGAAAACTCATTCTAAAAAAAAAAAACCTCTATATAAAACCGCAAGCCAACCTAGTGTATCCATCTCTTGCACATACATGATGGACAACAGTTATCATCATTCACCCATCAGTAAAATCACTGACTCTCCTGATTTACATTATTACCAAGTATCTAATTTATAAGATAAATTTAATACAACTTCTTTGACATAATCCCATAAATGAAACAAATTACCATAAACAATTTTGGTTATCTTGACAATATTTATCCAACTAAAAGTCAACTCAACAGGGCCTTTGCAAAAATGGATTATCATTCTAGAAAGCAAGCAAAAAGAACCCTCACAATACACCTCTATCATTTTTCATTTATATGCTGACTTTACTGAACCTGGTCTTTTATGGATGACTTACCTACTTCACATTCCTAGCCCTACTTCCATCTGTCAACAACATGAAAACAAAATGCTCATTTGAAAGCTCAAACGCCATCCCCTTAGCCTTTCCACTATTATCCAAGAGCCCCACTTTCTGCTAGCTCTTACACTATTTTTGAATAAAGAAATTCAAACAGGATAAACTCAAACCACTCAAAGTTCTAATTTCTGTCATTTAACTACCAGTCTTATGGATCACAACAATTTATCCCACACTTAATAAATACAAGCCAAATATGTTAGTTAAGCTAAATTTGGATGGGTGAGATCTGACTTTACAGAAATGTAGTTAATGCCTAAATTTTCTGATCAACTAGTTTCAGTCTCTTTCTACTAATTGGAGGTGAGGTACGGAGGAGTTCTGACAGAAGCAAAATTGTTCCTTTGAATTTGTAAATCACTAAGGAGTTTTCCCAGAAATGGATTTTGACCTGTGAAAAAGACAGTACTGTTGAAGAACACTGTCTACCAGACATAACTTGGCCATTTTCTGTCTCAGTGGGAGCAGTGACTAACAAGAGATTGCATAAGACCAGGTCTTCTGATATTACTTCATGGGAGGAGGAGCTACAGAGAGCCACTAAATCTTCATCAGAGATTCTAATCATTCGGTTCCTTTTGTGACCCCCCCCCCACTCCCAGCTGTGCAAGACTCTGCCCTTAATACATGTGAGTTTTGAGATGCTGGAGTGTAAGGAGAAGAAAGCTAACTGAAGGGGGATCTCCATCTGTGTAGCTTTAGAAGCATGGTTACACATGCTGGTATTGGACCTTTTTTTTTTTTTTGATTTTTCGAGACAGGGTTTCTCTGTGGCTTTCGAGCCTGTCCTGGAGCTAGCTCTGTAGACCAGGCTGGTCTTGAACTCACAGAGATCCGCCTGCCTCTGCC